GTTTCTGGATTCTTTTTTTCATGTCAGGAGATTTCAATTGTGAAAATTAGTATATATGTTTGTCTTGTATTTAGAACGCATTCCACGAACCCGGAATTAGTAACTGGCCTCGATCCCGTCTGGACGTAAAGTAAACATACTGAAATTGCCACCAACAAGCTGGGCTAGATCAATTCTACTAGGCTGTGAAACTGTCTTTGAATATTTGCAATTACCCCCCTTCTTTAGAATACGTAGAATTTCTTATGCTTCTTACAATATTTATTTTTAGATAAGATGAAAATAATTTTGAAAATTTTCATAACTGACAAAATTATAGAAGAATTGATTCGAAATTTCATTTGTTGAATAGAATTTTTTTAGTGTTTTTTTTAGGGTCAACTAAATAAATTATTTTCCCAAAGGTAAATTCTATGAAATTTTAATATCAATGTGATAAGTTTATCAAAGACTGCCAAAAGTCGCGTTTTTACAGCTTCTTGTCCTTCGACAATACAAATATTGCACGAGAACATATGATAATTGACAAAACACGTGGTGCTAAAATTTATTGGCACGAATTCTGTGTTCTTGCAACGAAAGAAATTTGTATCACCATATATATATATATATATATATATATATATATTGAGCTATTCTAGTACGTTAATTATTGTTCTATCTAAAATTAACTTCTTTATTTAAAGATCTTGTATTTTAGTTCGTTGTAGTTTCTTCAAATGATTCAGAATCAGATTAAAAAACAGATTCAATTATTATAGTTGGAAGAAGATCTTTATAAAAAAAAATGAGTTCCGTTTCCAGTTGAAGCTAGATAATTTTCCCGTGTGTTCCTCTTCATCATATGTCCTCGCTTCTTCTCTCGCGCATAATTGTGAAATATTATTTATGACCTTGTCAGCAGTTGTTTATAGTAGGTGGCTGGGACAACGGTAAACCGCAAGGAGTGGCCATCGGTCATTGTTGTTGCAACAATACTTTATCATATATATATAGAGAGACTCCTTGGCATGTCCTTGTGCTCATGTGACCCAAAGAAAAAAGAAAAAATTGATTCACTCTAACGAAAGTATTTTCTTATTCAAGAAAAGTAAAATATTTGCCAAAGGTATAAAAATTATTGATTCAAAAGCATATATATACTATAGAATTTATAATTTTACAAATTTTATACACTGAAAAAAATCTAGTAGGTTTTTGCTACTTTTTAACTACTCTGAGTAGTACAATAGGTCCTCAACTGAATTTAAACGGTTCTATTAACTATATAAAAATAGTTAAACCAATTAAAAATGTAATTGGTAGAATGACATTTTGTGATTGTATTAACTCAATTTTAAAATGTTAAAACAACTCAAGATGTAAGTAGTAGATTTTACAACTCAAAGTGGTACAACATTAAGAACATTTTTTTGGTACATTTAATAAATATTTTGCAATTGAAAATACTACATTAAGTAGTAAACTTTACTACTGAAAGTGGTTCAATAGGCTTTAAGATCATTTTTTTGTAGAATTAATAAATCTTTTGCAATTGAAACTACTACTTTAAGTAGTAGATTTTACTACTTAAAATAGGAAAATAAAATTATTTTTTATTTATAATTGTTTATTATCAGTAGAATTGACTTTTTCATCCTCTCTTCTATACTGACGCTTATTTTATGCCCTAACGATTATGTACCTAACAAAGAAAATTTCTAACCGACGGGAATTGAACCCTCGACCCTAACGCTCGCAATCCGATACTTTAACCGACTAACCACGCACGCTCGCTACGACAGTCTGCAAACTACTCAAAGACTACTTTCTGCTTGTCCAATTGGTAATTTAACTATTTAAAGTAGTAATTTTTACTACTTTTATTAGTTGCTATAACTATCCTTTTTAAGTTTTGACTTGTAAATTTTTCATCATTTAATTATATTATAAGTTGTTTAATTGCATAGTGCAGTAAAATCTACTACTTAAAGTGATAGTTTTAATTGCAAAGGATTTTTTACTTCTACGACATAAATATTTTTAATGCCTATTTAACCACTTTAAATAGTAAAAGCTACTACTGAAAGTAGTACACAGTTTTCCTAAAAGTATCAAATTGAGACCAAAAATTGCATCAAATCTTTGCAACGTTTTGATGCACATAAGTTATATCAAAAAGAGATCGTTTTGTGTATCATTTTTAGAAATGATACACGAAACGGTCTCATTTTTGGATGCAAAAAATTTAATCAATTTATATCAATCATGCGGCCGAATTGAATCGACTCAAAATTAAACGAATTTTTTTCAGATATTTTGGTAATAGTACAATTGCGGAGACCATTTCACTATTTAATTTGAAAATGAAAATAACAGAAAATCAAAGACAATGTGCAATTCGATTCGAAGTGACAGCTTATAAACATAACCTAAAATGCATGAGAAAAAATTGTCGATAAAATCAATATAGCCGAGCTTTTTAGAAGGTAGATGGCAGCACTCATCTATTTTCTTTCTTTAAATTTTTTCTGAATCGTTTTTATAAAAAGCAAAACTGCCATCTACCTTCTAAAAAGCTCGGCTATATTGATTTTATCAAAAAAAAAATTTCTCATGCATTTTAGGTTATGTTTATAAGCTGTCACTTTTTAATTATCGAATTGCACATTGTCTTTGATTTTCTGTTATTTTCATTTTCAAATTAAATAGTGAAATGGTCTCCGCAATTGTACTATTACCAAAATATCTGAAAAAAATTCGTTTAATTTTGAGTCGATTCAATACTAAACGTTTTTCAAGCTGATTGAATTAATTAAAATATTAAAAAATTACTACTTAAAGTAGTTTTAATCACAAAGGATTTGTTAATTCTACAATAAAAATGTTCTTAATGTTGTACCACTTTGAGTTGTAAAATCTACTACTTAAAGTAGTAGTTTTAACTGGAAACGATTTGTAAATTCTACATCAAAAATCTTCTTTATGTTTATCGAATTAATTAAAATAGTAAAAATCTACTACTTAAAGTAGTAGTTTTAATTACAGACGACTTGTTAATTATACAACAAGAATTTTATTGAAGCCTATAAAATCATAGAAATTAATAAAAAATTTACTACTCAAAATATTAATTAAAGAAAATAACACAGGCACACAAAAAATAAAAAGTTGTTTGGCCGAGACACTACACTAGTCTATTTCCATGTATTTTTTTACGCTGAATCCGAATCCGAAGTCAGAATTATCAGATTGGCTCTTATTTTTGAGATAAACTCAAAAAACTGCTCAGAAAGAAAAATAAAATCAAAAAGTTAAAAAATTTTTGAATGTCACTGCGATAGTGTAATTCCATGTATTTTTTGTCGCTGAATCCAAATCCAAAGTCAGAATTGTTAGATTCGCTCAAATTTTTGAGATAATTTCAAAAAAACACAAGTAACAAAAAACTCAAAATACTCAAAATCAGTTTTTTGGAATTATCTTCAAAATTTCAGCCAATCTGTCAATTCTGACTTCGAATTCGGATTCAGCATGAAAAAATACATGAAAATGCACTATCGTAGTGTTTCGGCAAAAAAAATTATCTGTGCCCCTAATTCAGAATTTTTATCAGTTTTTGGCGATTTTAGCTCAAAGAAATTTTTTTTGCCGAAACATTACGATAGTGCATTTTTATGTATTTTTTCACGCTGAATTCGAATTCGAAGTTAGAATTGACAGATTGGCTCAAATTTTGAAGTTAATTCTAAAAAACTGATTTTGAGTATTTTGAGTTTTTTGTTACTTGTGTTTTTTTTGCAATTATCTCAAAAATTTGAGCGAATCTAACAATTCTGACTTTGGATTCGGATTCAGCGACAAAAAATACATGGAATTACACTATCGCAGTGACATTCAAAAATTTTTTAACTTTTTGATTTTATTTTTCTTTCTGAGCAGTTTTTTAAGTTTATCTCAAAAATAAGAGCCAATCTGATAATTCTGACTTCGGATTCGGATTCAGCGTGAAAAAATACATGAAAATAGACTAGTGTAGTGTCTCGGCCAAACAACTTTTTATTTTTTGTGTGCCTGTCTAATTCCTTTTACTACATTTCATATATAACTGGTGAATAGTAGTTGGATTTACTACTCTTCAAATTTTCAGTTGACTACAATTCCACTTGTTTTTACTACCTTAAGTTAATTTTACTACCGACCTGTAGTTGTACTTTAATTACATATTTACGTAAAATCAACTATTACTTATTAACTTCTTAAAAATAGTTACATTAATTACATAAACATGATTAGATTAACTAAAAAAGTAGTTAGTTTAACTACTTTCTAGTCAACTATACCCAATGGTAGTTGAATTTCTCGGCAACTAAATAATTTTATATTTGATCGAGATCTGTTGACGGATGAATTCTTTATTTTCCTCAACTATATATTATTGCAGCAGACAAACCACACTATGTTCAACGTTTAATGTCAATGTCCATTTCGTCTCAAGGACTACTGCTTGAATTTCTATTATAACCGTCTATCAAAAACTTATAAATAGCAATTTAACCTGTTTTGAATAATAAAATATTTGTTGCAATAGGAATTCTCTAAAAATATGTGATTTTTTTTTGCAAAATTAAAAAAAAAATTATATTTTAAAAAAGTGCAATTTAACAGGAAGAATAAATTATTAATCGTAAATAGTATATATGCAAAAAGATAATACGGAATTCAATGTGGGCCGAGAATCTAAGACTCCATTGTTAATATATATATACGTTCTCCATTGTCTATACATCTTTTAATTAGAGTCAGGTACTCTATCGAAGATCATCGCAAAAAAAAAAATAAAAGTAACTTGAATAACAATAAGATAAACATGAGTTGTACTGTGATATTTATAAAATTTCAATTGTTTTTAACAAAAATTATAAATCTTTCTCCTATAAATTATAATTCAATTTCATAAAAATTTTTTCAATTTTTGAATTTATTAATATTTTAATAATAAATCGAAATTTTATTTTTACCTCTTCATAAGTTTCATCTTGTGTTTCTTTGTTGTAAATTTTATTATGATATCTAGTAGCATGCCTATGTAGTCCTGATGTATTCGATCTAGTCATCTTTATAACCCGATAATCGTCGCATAATTTACAGACCGCGTATTTATCACTATGAATATCATCACGTTTAATATCAAACATATTCATTAATTCAGATTTTGAAATTTGTTCTCGTTCTCTTTGTTCTTTTTGTAAATCATCCACGTCAATTGTATTGGGCGATTCGTCCTGTACATTAAAACTTTCTTTTTATAACAAAAATTACCTGTTTTTTTTTTTTTTAAATATATTTTTAATTTTTAAATAAAAGAACAAAAGTTGTCGATAATTGAAAGTACCAATTTTTGAAAAAGGATTATCTAAAGGCGCGAAATTTAAATTTAAAAAAAAAAAGTTAGGAAAAAAAAATTTCATTCAAGTAATAAAATAAATTATAGTTATAAAATATATTGAAACTGAACCTCTCCATGACATTCATTAAGTATTCCTTCATAAATTTTTCTATGATGAGATTTTAGATGTCTATGTAGGCCTGAAGTATTTGAATTTGTCATTTTTATAGAACGTTGATCATAACACATTCGGCAAACTGCATATTTTTCACCATTCATCCAATCTTTTGAAATATCAAACATTTGTGTTATAGATGCCTTCATTAGTAATTTTAATTTTTTTCTTTTTGGCTCGTCTGGATCCATTTTTTTTTTTAATCTAAATCTCAAGATAAGATATTTTAACTATACTAAGTTTTTTGGGGGAAACCTTTTTGATAATTCATTTAAATATTCGCAAATAAAGAAATAGTTGAATTTAGAACAGATTATTTTTGTATGACCTTCAATATAAATATTGTTCAACAGGGATTATTTAGTTCATCATCGCACAACATGATTTTTACACACATTTCGAGAAACGACGCGAGATTTTTCGAGAAAAATACAAAATATATGTATATAGCAGACGACAAATATTCACTTAACCTGATCACAAAATAGAAGTTCTCGATTAGACCTTGATTATGCGCCGCGCAACGGATTTCATCGCAAACTTACAGTTGAACACTGTATATACAGTTGCCTACCATCAGTCAAGAACGTAGAGAAACCATATTGCAAATACAGAATGAGAATATTCTACTCTTAGTGCTTCAATTTTTCTTTTGCAGTTTGCATTTCTCTCTTTAAAAAAATTATCAAAGAAGACGAATTTTTACAACTATTTTTGAAAATATTCAAATATTGAGTTTTTATTGTTCTATATGAAAATTAATCCTTTTTTGAAAATAGAATGTTTTCTCCTCGTATGATAAAGTCTATTTCAAAATTATTAACTTCCTGAAATAGATTTTTGAATCATATTTCTCAGTAATAGGTATAAATATACTTAAATGTTATTCTAAAAGGAAATTTAAATGTTAGAAGCAAATTACTTAAAAAAACACACACACAGATAGATCCATCATTACAACTTATTTTTTATACATGAAATTGTGCTATACTTCCCACTGAAAATACAAATACTCCCCTCAATTGTTATATGAAAAAAAAAATTCCCCCGAACAAGATAAAAGTTATGTTATTGTTATTTCTTCACTCTAAGTTCATTCATTTCATGTTCGCTAACCTTTTTCAATTTTATTATATCCGGAATTTTATCTATATAAAAAAAAAAAATAATAATATGAGAATGTTCTCCCTGTCTTTAAGAGATAAGAATTGATATCTTCACATGAGGAAAAGGCCAAACCGGTATCAGTTGATCATTGAATGAAATTGAAGTCGGGTGAGTTTAAGTTGGAGTAGTGACATATTTATGTATATTGGCACGTGGGCGACCGGACGCAATTCAAACAAATGCGGCCAACCGGTCCGCGAATCGTTCATATATCAAATGATCAACTTATTGCAAAATGCGATGATTGTTTTAAATATAAAATTACTAACTTCAATATATGCAATCAAGTCATATACAAGTTAATCCCTGATAATAATTTATTAATTTTACATTTAAATTTATTTAGCAAAACAGTGAACTGTTCCTGTGTATTCAAGATTTCGACGGTATCGTCGATATAAAAAAAAGATTATTGTGGTTAAATACTGTGCTAAACTATTTTTCTCAACAAAAACGTCTGCTGTCTCTCAAAAATTTACAGCAGACTTTTGTTTGTAATATAAAAAAAGGTTATTGTGGTTAAATACTGTGCTAAATTATTTTTCTGAACAAAATCATCTACTGTCTCAAAAATGTACAGCAGACTTTTGTTTGTAATATAGAAAAAGGTTATTGTGGTTAAATACTGTGCTAAACTACACAGAAAATTAAAAGGCATTAAAATAAGCTGCAACGCTTATTATTTTAATCCAATTTTGCTTATTTTAATCCATTTTGGTATTAAAATAAGCAACATTGGATTAAAATAAGAAGCGTTGCAGCTTATTTTAATGCCTTTTAATTTTCTGTGTATTTTTCTCAACAAAAACGTCTGCTGTCTCTCAAAAATTTACAGCAGATTTTTGTTTGTAATATAAAAAAAGGTTATTGTGGTTAAATACTGTGCTAAATTATTTTTCTGAACAAAATCATCTACTGTCTCAAAAATGTAGAGCAGACTTTTGTTTGTAATATAAAAAAAGGTTATTGTGGTTAAATACTGTGCTAAACTATTTTTCTCAACAAAAACGTCTGCTGTCTCTCAAAAATTTACAGCAGATTTTTGTTTGTTATATAAAAAAAAGGTTATTGTGGTTAAATACTGTGCTAAATTATTTTTCTGAACAAAAACGTCTACCAGAGAGGAATTGAGAGTAAGCACGTAATGCAAATCGCGCTTTTCTATTAAAGTCTGCCCCCTCGCGGTCAAAATATCGAAGCTTAGGTGGTTAGCTATATATATTCCTTAAATCGGTGAGGCTACACACATACGCATAATGTAATGGCTAAGCCGAATGACGTTCGGAATTGATCGGGCGGGCTCGTGTATCTTTGCGTGAATTAGAGAAACTAACTGAAAACGAACCGTGCGGGCCTCATCCAATGTTTTGACTTTTTTTCAGATAAAGTATATGAGCCGGTTTTTGAAACAATTCACTAATCGACAATATTTTTAAGGTTAAATTTAGAAATTTTAATTTAAATTAGTAATTAAAATACAATTTTAATTTATTATTTAAATTTCATTTTAAATTTTTATAAAATTTAGAATTCTAAATGTTCTCTCTTCGAATGCATAGTTGAATAAGTACGAAATTCGTTTTCAATAAATCTTATATCATAATTATTTTATAATAAGTAAAAAAAATTTCGATATTACAATATTATCTTTATTTATTTAATTCAGTTAAATCATAGATTAGTAATGTGAAATAATGTGCTTTTGTCAAAGTCATATTAAAAGAAAAATTAAATTCTTTTTATTATTTTGCCGTTAAAATTTTTGAAAAATATTTTTTGTAATATTATAATAAAATTTTAGAATTTAAAAATTTTACCTAATACTGACAACAATGTTTATAATTTAATTCTTAAGAATGTTCTCATTTTATTTAAAATTGAATCAATTTTTTATGTCTATTTAATAGTTTATAAAAAAATATAATTTTTTTTATATTATACTTTTAAATTTTCGATTTGTAAATGCTTACACATTATAAGTAGCTTACATTTTTTAAAATATTAAATTTAAAAACATTTTGTCAAGAGATTAAATGTTTTAACTTAAAATAAATAAATAAAATAATCAATTTTAAAAAATATTTTATAGGTTTTTAAATCAGAAAAATTGTTTTTGTAAATTAATTAATTATTTTTTCTTTGGGCTTGTCCAAGTAAAAAATGATTTAATTTTAAATAAAATGAGAATATTCTTAAAATTTAAATTGTAAACATTGTTGTCAATACCTATTAAAATTACCCACAATTTAATACATTATTAATTTGTATAGAATATTCTATGGTGTTTAGTTTCACATTATTATTTATGTTTAACTAAATTAAATAAATAAAGATAATATTTATAAAAATTATGTCAGTTTTTTTTACTTTTCAATAGTGTTATCAAAAAAATTTGTTTTTCATTTTTTATTAAAAAAGTAACAATTTTTTATAAACAAATTAATTTTTTTTTAATTTGTATGTGATTTTTTTAAAACATACCTGGTAATAAGAAGAAGATTTAGTGAAAAAATTTAGTCAGCCAATAAGTTTTATATTTTTATGTATTTAAAAAAAACACCACTTGCAGCATTGTGCACATTTTTGAATAGTAAAAAAAATTGATAAATTGTTAAAAATTATTTAAAAAATTTTTTTTTGAAACCTGAAATTTTATTTCACTATGAAAAATGAAAGAAAATTTTTTAACAATAATTTAACAATTTTTTTTACTTTTCAGAAATGTGCACAATGCTGCGCGCAGTGTTTAAATGTTTATTTAAACCTATAATCTTAGTTATTTCCAGTATTTCTTAGTATTTTTAGGTATGTTTAAAATTTTTTTTTAAAAATCATATTCCAATTTAAAAAAACTTAATTTGTTTATAAAATTTTTTTATTTTTTAATAAAAAATGAAAATATAATTTCGTTAACATTATTGAAAAGTAAAAGATAAACTGGAACTTTTCTTCTCTTGGCAAAAATTGAAAAAATCCAGTTTTTTGTCTACATTTACAAAACTGAAATTTTGAAAAATAACTCGAAAATTTGCATAAAGAAAGTATCTTTTTTTCACTACAGAACACGAAAAAATTATATTTGGCTGAATTTAAAGGGTCGACTGAAATCTCACGTGAAATCACCCATACGTTTAAGAAAAACATATTTTAATTAAAAATTTAAAATAATTATGATAAGATTTATTGAAAACGAATTTCGTACTTATTCAACTATGCATTCGAAGAGAGAACATTTGGAATTCTAAATTTTATAAAAATTTAAAATGAAATTTAAATAATAAATTAAAATTGTATTTTAATTACTAATTTAAATTAAAATTTCTAAATTTAACCTTAAAAATATTGTCGATTAGTGAATTGTTTCAAAAACCGGCTCATATACTTTATCTGAAAAAAAGTCAAAACATTGGATGAGGCCCGCACGGTTCGTTTTCAGTTAGTTTCTCTAATTCACGCAAAGATACACGAGCCCGCCCGATCAATTCCGAACGTCATTCGGCTTAGCCATTACATTATGCGTATGTGTGTAGCCTCACCGATTTAAGGAATATATATAGCTAACCACCTAAGCTTCGATATTTTGACCGCGAGGGGGCAGACTTTAATAGAAAAGCGCGATTTGCATTACGTGCTTACTCTCAATTACTCTCTGCGTCTACTGTCTCAAAAATGTACAGCAGACTTTTGTTTGTAATGTAAAAAAAAGGTTATTGTGGTTAAATACTGTGCTAAATTCACAGAAAAAAACTGAGTTCATTTTTGTTGCAGTTCATTCTGAATTTGGTATCATAATGAACAACAACTAACTTCAAGTTACTCAAAATGAACCGGACCCGGATCAAATGTTAGGTTATGTTAGTTTCTGTTGAAATTCAAGATTTTAAGATTATTATGTTGGCAACAACTGCAACTTATGTATTCAGCGCCACACTGGCTCAATATTCAAATTGAAATAGTAGAAATATTTTTAACTTTAATTTAACAATAAATTTGAATAATTATAGTTAATGTATAATATAAATTATTATTATATATTATATTGATAATATTCATTTACAAACTATTATATGTATTATATTTTAAAATAGTATAATATAAATATAATAATAGATGATATATAATAATTGTAAAATATACAAGAATTACAATTAAAAAAATGGTATGGGATAAATTTATTAAAATAAGTTTAAATAAAAATTTATATATATATATATATATATTACATTAATTATATTAATATTTATTTAATATTAATAATATTAATTTTATATGAGAGATAATAATATTTTACAATTATATAATTATAAT